GATAATTTATTCTCGAGTCGCTTTAAATCAACGATGAAATCAGAGCCGAAAAACGTGTGATAATAAAGGAGGATGGAAAAGTTGGGGAAGAGAGAAAGGATGTCGACGGTGTTCGTTAAGGAGCGAAATATTTGTTAAAAAGAAAGAAAAAAATAAACGAAACTGTTGGCGCATCGAGTTGCTGCGATACTATGCTTCATTTGAAATTCCAATGGAGCTGTTACTTTGCGACCTCTGTTTCCTTTGGGACGCGTTTGCAATTAAAAGGGTGATCCGCCGTTTGTGCAAGGATCCACGAAAACTTATTTTATTAAAATAATTTATTTAATTCGGTTTTCTCGTTCATATCGCGTACGATATTTCGAAGACAGCAACAGGTCTACGCTATGAGAGTTTGCTAAGTCGTAAGGAGCGGGCAATTACAAGAGGGAAAGTTAAAAGGCGAAAGGTCACTTGAAAAATTAAACGCCTCGAAACGTCTTTTGCGAATTTTCTGTTTCCCTCGCTCGTGAGATTACATCTCGCATGATTCTTCTCTAAATTGAACAAGGGCTGCCTCTTATATTTAATTTTAATCCTCTGAATTTGAAAAATAGATCGAAGCTTTTATATTTTTAATTAGACGATGAATAAAGGATGATTCAAAAAATTCGACGCAGTTGAATCATTCTAAAACAATCTCAAAAATATTGTTACTTAAAAGGCTCAGAGATTGGAAAATTGTTATCAAATTGTAACAGAATCATTGCTTCGTTTTCTTAATCAGAAAAACTTGAATGTTCTATTTCTTCTTTTATTTTTCCTCTTGGATTTTGTATTGATATTAATCAAACATTATTAATAAAACAAATTTAATTCTTGTGCGTTAATTACAAACGTTTATTTTATCATCATATTTACTTTTCTTTTTAAAAAAAGAAAACGTCATATATCTTGTAGGATCACAATTGATCCCGTAGGATTAGCAAAAGTTACCATTTTGTCGTACGAGCCGCAAATGATACTAATTTTTCCACTATCGTGCATGGAACGACCGCAAATGGCGTCGTTGCGTCCACCACTTTGTTTCAGCCACTATGCTGAAATATTTCCACGACAATAAAGCCGAAAAAGTATAAACTTTTTTTAGTTAATTTCAATTTTTTCTTCCGATTGATCTTAATGAAAACACAATACGTAAAAATTAAAACAAATTGTTAATTTTGTTGCAACGTAATTACTCTGCAAAATAAATCAATTGATAAAATAAAATAATATGAAATTATTAATTATTGATTCGTTTAATCGAATGAAACGAGTATTTATTTTCTGCGAAATTTTCGTGGATTGGATTTAATTTTTAATGCACTCAACGGTACATTTCGGAAGTTAAATAAAATGAAAATTCCAGCGTTATTATGTAAAAATTATACGTAAATTTTTTCAGTTTCAAATTTTTCAACGAATCGATGATCATTGCAAAAAAAATAATTACACGAGATAAAGAAAGATCGTTTTACATTATTAGACACGATTACAAAAATTATAAAAAATTAAACATTCCATTTCTATTAACGAAAACGAATACTTATTCTTAAAATTTTTATACCTTAAATTAGAAGACTTTTATATCCATCCAATTAAAAAAAGAAAAAACAATAAACAACTTCTTACACAAAAAACCACGTGCAATCAGAATTCATGGACACAGCGAATAAAGCATAAGAATAAACGAGCTATCGTGGAGAAATAAAAAAAAAAAAAAAAGAAATCGCACAGAAAACTTACAGTCTCCA